GGATATAATCTCTCGCTTGCATAATTTGTAATACGCCACGCATAGTGCTAATGGTAGCGCATATGATAACTGCTTATCCATCGTGGTTATTTGGCGGGCAGGTTGCGAGGTCTGCATTGAGGCAGAGTGAAGACAGAATGGAGTCAAAAAATATGGAGACACATTTGGGTGCTTGTATCCTCTTCATTATATCTTCAACGTTCGGGGAAGTTTCTCAAGGAGTTCTCTTCCTTTCTGCTTAGCTCGTCAGCTTCATCATATTAAGTTTTCTATACCTAAGCCGAAGAACTCTAAGAGTGCCAATGGACGTGAATAGTGAATTAGATACAAGTAGTTTTCTAATGAAAATTGCTTTCTTGAGACTCAAGCAAAAAAATTTCTCAAATGCGCTATCGAAATCAGCGGCATTCAATCCATTTGGCTAATGATTAATGCTAGAAGAACATATTCACTAAAGAAACGATGGTCGCGTAATTTTCGACTGCCCACTCTTTCGCTCCTATACTACCACATGCTAGTTTTCACATCGTGTTCTCGAGTCTGACTATAAATAATCTTGACGAGATGGTGTTGTCTTGTTGATACCCGCTGCTTCCGCCAATATTAGCGCCGTCGTAAAGGGTGAAAATCTTTGCTTTCCAATGAGGGACATGTTGCCTGTCTCATGCTTCCACAGCCACTTTTCTATAGACTAGGACTAAAGTCTTTACTACTCGATAAAAGGGGCAGGGCATTCGATTTCCCGTAAGCGATACTGAAAGAGTTTTGCTGTTATGCAGTCGTGTTCCATCATCGTAAATCTTTTTCGAAAACCTGCATACTCGAACGGCTTTCCTAAGTGCAACGTTATTTCAATACTAAATCGAAGGTTCAACAGTTACTGTGCTTTTCATTATGGCATCTTCGTCTTCGTGTCGAGTCGGATCTTCCTCAATGGAGTACATCTCGAATGAGCCATACTCATATGGCGATGCACTTTTATAGAGGACGCCGGTTGTTGATAGCTATTATTGCCTAAAGGTAACAGCTTGTTTTCCCAAACAATCCATCCTGCAGAAATAGGTGTTATTACTAGCTACCAAACAGGACAAGAGGCTCTGATGAACACGAAAACGTTGAAACTTTAGCCGAAAGCAAAGATTACTTATCAACTCTCATAAGCTTATCAAAGAAAGAAAGCATATTGATTAGTCATACCGAGGTTAAGGGAAGGTCAGTTTTGAAACATCATGAGCTGCTGTGTTTCTAGAGATAGTTGTCTCATGGTAACTTTCAAATTATCAGTTTCACCAACACGGGCATGAAAGTGACGAATTAGTCGGTCGTACTCATCACTTATGTAGCCAGCAAATTCCAGACTACAATAAAGGATGAAGCTCTCGACGTTGCTCAATCTCCGAGGGATACGCTATGCATTCAATTTCATCAACCTCAGTGGAGGTGATTGAATCCTTATCAGGCCTATACAATGAATTGTGCTGACCTGATGATGTATCGAGTGAGTGTTCCTGTCCTTCGACAGAAGTCTGTTACCTATGAACGCGCAGTCGAAAGGACGGTGCTAGAAGTATGCCGTGTCACACAGGCAAAGAAATGGGTACGAAGCTCCTACCTGCGTCAACGATAAAAAATCAGAGATGCCGTCTTATATGCCTAACTTGATAAGGTGAGTCCGGCACGTAATGCCTATGAACGACATCCTATGGACAAGAGCCGTTCGTCACTGAATTTTTTGAGATGGCGTACGTACTGCAGTCAGACCACCGAGCCGGTGGTCAGAGTTCTTCACGAAAAACCTAGAAGAAAGGTATGATGCTCAACGAGTTTCCTGAGCAAGCAGAATCCACTCGACTACTCTTGCACGCGACAGCGAAAGAGGGACGATTTACTGGCTCTAGCTCAAGTCACGCGATGATCAGCGGCAGGACAGGTGCTATAGGCAATACGGGTGATACAAGTGATGGCTTGCTACTCAGTTGTTAATCAATTCCTGTTCATCTCTCCTTACACATCAACACAGCTCCAACTCTTCATATTTGAAGAATATTTGCCTGATATGTCATTGACACCGTTTTTGAGTTATCATTGCAATGTTTACATGTTTCAAAATGTTTATGTTGTTCTCAAGATAAATGGTTAATTACGCAGAAGATATGGATTTCGTCCTGCTACAATACAACTACACAACTCGTTTGGCAGATGTTCACACTCATTCCAGCCGCCTTTCCACTTTGCAGCAGCACAACTACACAATATTAGAAGGAATCACAAGAAACTAAGAAGACTTGGAAGTTATACCTAAGCCTCTGTCGTTTTAGTAATACATTGTTACTTATCAATATCATCCAAAAAAACTCGAATTTTCTCCTCTAGCTTTCGATTACCGACTGATAGCATAATAATGACGCGACATCTCGGCCAGCAACGCTAGAAGATTCTAACTACTTGTCTGATTCGACAGTTCTATGCTGACAGATCTTTATGAAATATGAACCCTATACTAGTGATGAACCGAAAACAAGACTATGCCATCAAGTTTTTACTGAACAGAATTTTCCATTCCATTCACCTCAGACAAAAAAATACAGCTATTTATCAAATTCTTCAATCAGCTTTTAGAAGGACTGAGAGTTAACCATTCGGTGGTGGTCAATTCCGTAAGAATGTATCGTTCATCAGACATCATTAGACATTACAGAGATGCTCGAATATATAGTCGCCCATATGAGGACCAACAGGGACCTGATGTTGTATCAAAACAGTGCTTCCATCTTTCCAGGGTACCAGTTTGTCGACCCCGAATTGAATGTAGGCTTAGGCTTAGTCTTCCCGGAGTGTGATCGAACAAACGAATGTATGTTTCGCAACGCACGTCGTCTTCATCAGCTCTTATTTCCCTGAAAATTCCCTTTCCACTTATTTTCATGAAAATCATCGTTACGACTTTATAAACATAAATATCGATGTCCTTTGGAAATAAAATGTTTATCGATGGTCAGAAAAATATCATACACTCTGAAGATACTCGAATGCAGAACACCTATGAAAAGCTAGGCACATGACTAAGTCAACGAGATGTTCAGGGTATTCGCACGATGGTGAGAGAGTTGAATAGAATACATACGGAAATGCCTGGGAAAAATTCAAAGCATAATGAAGTGGTGAGGAAATAAGAACTAAAACATGGGACACTTAGTGTCATTCCATTCGTCGTCACAGCTCGGGATTATTTTGTTTAGTATTGCTGCTAGAAGTAATAATTGGTGCTAAGCGCAAAATTTCAAATACTTAAATAATAACACTACATCCTCTTTTGAAACAATTACAGAAAGTCCCGAAAATAAGAAATTACGAAGTAAAATTTTTGCCGAAAGCCAATTCCAAAGGTGACGAAAACAAAGCACAGAGGTCGTTAAAATGCTCTCTGACTTTAAGTGAGTTGACGACAACCCACGACATCATCTTACAGCAAAGTTCTGTATACTTGAAGCTATAAATATAATGATCTATTTGCTCACACGAAACTTATAAGACATTGTGAAACGATGGATATATACAAACAATAGTCAAGGAAATATTGGCCAATTAGATCCAAGAATAGAGGCAAAAGGAGCAGAAAGTAAACAACGTGGCAGCGACCGTATACTGTTTAATTACATTGTATTAGAATCTTCTAGGATGGCTTGTGCTATAATCATTGAGCTCAGTCATAAATCAGAAATAGGTGCATCGGCATCGGAAGCACCAGAACGTTTCCAATGCAGATGGCATCGTTCGCAGAGCAGGTGCTTCCCCAGCGGATAACAGTAGGCGTCGCCGTCATCTGTCAGTTTCAGACCGCAACCCTAAACAACGTTCGGTACTATAACTCGTATGAAATGCTGAGATATTTGCAAAACTCCGGACCGCGGTTGTCTGCGGTAGGGAACGAACGCGCTATCACCCTTTTCGGGATCTAACGCGTTCACCACTACACCATGCGGATCCCTCGTTCCGCCTGTCTGTCACCTAGGTCTATCGGTTAGTGCCATCAATAATCACCCGTCAACGGAACTGATATGGTGTGTTGGTGAACGCGTTAGCACTCGGAAAGGGTAATAGCGCGTTCGTTCCCCACTGCAGACACCTGCGGCCCGGAGTTTTGCAAATATCTCAGCAACGTTGCGTTTGTATTTCGCTTAATACCCTGCCGAAAAAATTGTAGTAGGCAGAAAATGAAAAGTAAAACCTGGCATCAAATTGCCAGCATCAGAGAGACGACAAGTCGGAGACTTGGCTGCCCGTATAGCTGATTCGAATCAGCAACCAGGTATTATAGCTATTCCAGGGCCATCTAGGCCGCTGCGCTACACGTGCCTCAGCAACATCCTTAGACAATGATGACCGTGATCACACTTTTTGAGAAATCCTAGGCATTATTAAGGTGATAATTTAAATTCTGTAGTGAAACACTATATCTATAGGTGTTATTGCTCAAAAAAAGAACGTTCCTCGCGTTTGCTCAAAAAAATACGAACAAAATCACTTGATCAATGCCGAGGTTAATAGAAAGTCGGTCGTGGCAGTTACTATATCTATAATAAAAGCAAGCTGAGAGACAGGCTAAACGAAGGACCCGGATGGTGTGGTGGTGAAGTGCGCTGCTCCCCGGTAAGGACAACAGCGCGTGTTCGTTCCCCACCGCATACACCTGCGGTCCGGAGTTTTGCAAATATCTCAGCATTATATACAAGTTTTTAATTAACACTACTGTTGGAATCATGAATTGGCATTATTAATGATGATGATTTCAACTCTGAAAAGGTTACAGTCGAGAGAGATCCAGCATTTCTCAATGGTCACTGGGTAGAAACCACATTGAGTTCGCAGTCATCAAAACATGAAGGTTCACTGACGGACTGTCAGCAAGGTAAATGTCTTCTCTTAAAGACACTGAAACAACACCGATGGACTGATGCAAATTGTATTAGCGAAGGCTTAAAATTTTTAAAAATGATGCTCTAGAAGTTCTTATAACTCTTTTGGATATGATACCTTGAAAGATCTATTTCTACTGAGTAGGAATTTCCATCATATTTAAAAGATTTTCCCACCTCGCACGAATAACAGTCCACATGATAGTTGTTCTCAAGAGCGACTATACGAACCGTCTCACGGGACCTCTAAAGTCAGGAAAACATACAATATACGTAGGAAAAATCGAAATCGAAGTTTAACGTAGACAAAGGTATTCGTCGCTTCAGTATACCTCATCAGGAAGGATCGGCTTCTTACATCGGTAACACCGTGGTGCGAATTGATCATGGTAGTCCGGTAAGCAGTACGCCTGCAAAAATTTAGGTATAGGTCGTGGAAATATTCAGACTATAACCCTTACATGATCAAGAAATCAAACCTAATTTTGCTCTACTCCTAGAAAAATAGGAATAAACCTATGGATTACTAAAAATTTCTGAACCTGGTTTTTTTTGTCGAGAGCGAATTGAACACCATCCAGGCACATCCCGCAAGCCGTGCATCGAAAACAAGAAGGATGATATTTGCCATTCAGCGCCGTGAGCACCTATATGTAAGCATTGTCACAGCTCTTATTTATGGTATCCGAATTTCAAGGCCCATTTCTGAACTAACCGCATCCTGAATAGGCTCCTTACATTCCACACATCGATCAACTTTTCGATCCATGCTGTACAGATAATCTTGCTTGCAGTATAGGCGTCCACCACTTAGATAGAACTGTTGATCCCTAAAAGCTTGTACAATGGACTAGTTGGCTTCTTCCATATTAGCCAATACTTTCACCGAGCGTCTGTTGAAAACTGTTGATCAACCAATTTTTTCCTGTATTCTACTTTATGAATTCTATTCTTCATGCTTCAACGGTCGCTTTATCTAACCTTTATTTTCGAATTTTAACTTAGAAACACCAACTGTAAGCTATACAAAGCACGAAGGATAAAGGATAAAATGCTCGGCATTGATCGATTCCTGAAAAATCGGCCATACATTCGAATTCATCGAACATTCTAGAGGTGACTGAATGCATACCTAACCCATACAATAAGTAGCGCAGGCCTGTCGATGTGTGAATTTTGGTCAGCCACACAGCATTTGCAAAGTTTTAGGATCCACAAATCAAAACATTTGTTGACATAAGGCGATATTCGTAAACATTCTGTCTTATAAGTTAGTTCTTAGAAGTAAAACTTAGAAAAATAAAAACGTTTTCCTTTCGTTCCGAGCCAGAAAGTGAAGAAAACAGTACCTTAGCTCTCGTCCACACACTTCACAGGCGAAACAAGCTTGATGATAGCAGCAATCGTTAACGCTGAAGCGATCCTCATTATCGAACATCGGAAGACGACAATTTGCACAAAGACCTTAAATATATGAGATTTACTCGAAAAGAAAAAAGAATGTGCTGAACCGGTTTACGGTCAAAGTTAACCAAATACGCGTAGGAAACATTTTATTACCGCGCATTGCGTACAGCTGTAAGGGTGATTGTGAATAAATTGCATTATTCTTGAGAGTTGAAACACTCCTATGCTTTTGTTTATTATTATAAAATACTACTTACTATAAACAAGAGCTGAATATGAGCGAACAGAACCCATTGTGCTCTTGCACTCTACGGAGACAAGTGGAAACTTTACTGGCATCCACTCGGGTCACTCGATGCTCAAGGAGAGGAAGGGTGACAACGGGTGACAAATGACTGTTGAATATTGCTCAGAATCGGGTCTGATAACTCGAAATATCCTTATAATTAATATGATCCATAAAAAAGGAATAAGCGAACGAGGAAACTCCATGAGTAACTACGAATAGAAGCAGCAAGAGACCGGACAAAAAATCGTCAACATTTTGTCGCTTATTCAACAGTTATGGTGCATTCAGTCGAAACGCAACTGATGTCCTTAGTTTTGCTCATGTTTCATGTCTCTATGGTTATATTTCACATCGTACCCTGCAATGGAAAAAATGGGCAGAAAATAAAATTTAAAACTGTGATTTCGTTTGCAGCAACAGCTTAACTGGGTCCAATGCCGATTGCACACCTCGGACCATTCCCGTTGACGGGTGATTGCTGATAGCACCTATAGAGCAAAAATACAGTTGAAAGAAATGCAAGTTTAAGCGTCTAGGTTGGCGTGGTGGACAGCACATGAGCCCCCGGTAAAGGTAATCGCACGTTTGAAGCCCACCTTAGATTCCAAGTTCTGCTTACATCTCAACATCTCTATGGCTATTCTCTACTGTTGGAGATAACCAGATCATGAAATACTGAATATTTACACAGACAATCTCCACTCATCAGACGAACATAAACGTAGAGTACAAGACATCTGACATTGATCAAACCCTTAGACCTTATGCAGTTGATTTCATTGGTCATTCTAGGACTGGGTGGCAAAACCTACTGATGTATCCCGCTTGTTTTTAGCCCACCAATCAAGCACCAATTTGGTCATCCAAGAAAGATGAAAGGCAAGGTTGACCTCAAAGTCTCAGGCGTATTTCAGAAGTCGCCTTAGGACTGCAACAAGCGCTAAATCATAAGAAGGTAGCGACTTGAAATACTTATTAGACGCTTTGTGCTAGCTGATAATAACACCGACTTCTCCACGATGTGCGCGATGATTATGTCTGGAAGAGAAACAAGTTGTTATCACCAGACATTATCATTATATCTACTATCAGCATCGTGTATAAAAGGGCATCACTGAGTAAGGGTGCCTCATTCGAGGAGGTGGCTCACTGAAGAAGACCTGACCCGACACGAAGGCGAAGCTGCCTCGTCGAGACGAATAACAAGCGAGGACCATCGACTCGGATCATCGGATCTGAGGAAGACGAAGACGTCGAAACGTTAGCCGAAAATAAACATCATTATCAACCTCGTGTAAGCTCATCAAAGAAAGAATACACATTCTTATTAGAAATAACGCGACCGTAACGCGCGATCCAACAGCGCGTACGTGGTGGAGTCCTTCGACGTCACTGCCCTGTATACGAACGTGTCGAATGACTCCGCTATGCAAGCC